TTCTAAAAATCCTCTCAGACTTCGTAAGCAGTTTTGATGTAAAGTAGTTACGTGAAGATCCTCGCTCGTTCATATAACTCGCCAATTCAAATTTTTTGAGTTGGCTCTCGCCAACTCACAATCAAAATTTTGCTTTCGGTTAAAGATTATACAATAATCAAAAATAAGAACCTAATCTTTTCAACAGGGCTTACTAGAAAACTGCACAGAAGCTACCTGAAGATCTTTATCGCTTTGAAGAAAACATAGGATATTGTCTACCTCAAAAAATTCTAGAGACGTTGATACATTCTTTATCAATTTCTCAAATGATGAGGCTTTAAATCTTTTAGATGCGCACCTCAAAAACATATCATCATTCCTATTGGTTTTCAGGTTATTTCTCGATTGACCGTTTTCGAAGATGGAACACTTGAAGCCGAGTGCGGAGCAGTACCTTGTGGAGAAGTAGGACGACGATGCATAGAAGATCAGACCAGCTGTCGTGCTGACACAGATGTTTTTTCTGGGATGCGATGGGCTCCAAATGGCCAAAGGTGTTGACTTGTTACTTAGCTAGCCCAACTGCTGGGAGGAGAAAGAGAGAAGGATTGCCTAAGGGAAAGTTTCCGGAACTGAAATCAATCAGAACTTTTATTCTGAAGAAGACTTGACATAATGCTCATGAGAATTTATTCATGAATAAAAGTTCTTTTTTAATTATTGAAAATAGAGCACTATCTAATTTCAGCGTTCTACTGAGATGTTGCACCATCAAGGTTCCCAACAAGATCTACGTCGGAACTGACTTGGTCACTGCTGGATCCTACTACGAAGGCGGCCCAATCGCTAAGAAAGATATGTACTATCCTAAAGGCAGAGAATTCGACTTCATCGCTAATGTTCGAACAGAGCAGTAAGTTGTTGATCGATATTTAGAACTGCTAACTTTTACCCTGAGTCGAAAGCTATCCTTGCTTGTTTTCACGAGAACAACATTAGTACAGTCGCCAGCCCTTCCTTCACTTACACCCCCCAATTTTCCAGAGGAGGTGTACGCGTTTGGGTCTACCGAGTAGCATGCGGAGACGATGATCGACGAGTAGATTTTGAGCCAGTCGTCA